GTGTGTGTGTGTGTGTGTGTGTGTGTGTGTGTGTGTGTGTGTGTGTGTGAAGCATCAAGAAATAAAGTAAAATGTCATTTCAGAATATGCTTAGTATTTATGTACTTTCTGTCATTGTTTCTCTCTTACTATACACTTGCTTCCACATGAAGCCTCTATTCCAGTGGTTCTTAATCTTCCTAATGCTGTGACCCTTTACTACAATTCCTCTTGTTGTGGTGACCCCTAACTATAAAATAATTTTGTTGCTCATTCATAACTGTAATTTTGCTATTGTTATGAATCATAATGTAAATATTGAATATGTGGAATCTTGGATATGTGTCCCTCAGATGGGGCCAAACCCACAGGTTGAGAACCCTTGCAACACAACCCAATGTTGCTGCTTCCCAGACACAGTTCTTATCATGTATTCTGCAGTTAGTATCGATGTCTGAGCCAAATCAGTGTGATGTGTGCAAGTCTACTTCAGAGATTTTACTATGTACACCAGGGAGGCATTATTAATTGGAATGAACACAGAGAATATCATGGAACAAACAGGCAAAACAATGACTCAAGCCTGTTTCTCTTACTTAAGCATTTTTAGTGAGTTATTTTTATCTTTTCAAACGTTTTAAAATGGAAAGAAGCAAACTGAAATATAAAGGATCAGGATAGAACTGGCCTTCCAGTTATGTATGGCTCCATCAAGTTGCTCTCTTTCTGTTTGCATATGTGAGATATTTACATACATGGTAACATATACATATGTGTATATGTGTGTGACAATATATGCATTTGATTCTTTTTATTTGCGCATATATACTTAAGCACATGAGCATTTCTCTAAAACCTTAGTGATTGCCAAGATCAACTTTACCCTAAAATTCTGGCTTACCCTAAAATGACAAGCCAGGTTCTGCAATGAATATACTAGATGGCATCATTGTGGTTCATGTCTTGGTTTCACGTTACTGATGGAAGTTTCACCACTGGGCAGTGGCAGTGCTACACGGGTGACGCAGAAGTTTTGACTCAATTCTCCAAGAAATGGTTGCAAGTGGAGCGTGAGCCCCTCAGCTGCGTCAGCAGAGTTCGTGAGATAAAAATAAAGAAAAGCTTTTTGCCCCAAGTCAGTATCTACAACATGCAGGTCTTCCTTGATGTGCATACATCAAGAGTTAGTGAACGAGACCCACATTGGAGCACTGGACTTGGCTCCCTAGGTCCAAATGAGGAGCAGAAGGAGAGAGAACATGAAGGAAGTCAGGATCATGAGGGGTGCATCCACCCACTGAGACGGTGGGCTGATCTAATGGGAGCTCACCAAGGCCAGCTGGACTGGGAGTGATGGAGCATGTGATCAAAATGGACACTCTGAATGGCTGGCAATGAAGGCTGACTGAGAAGCCAAGGACAATGGCACTGGGTTTTTATTCTACTGCATGGACTGACTTTGTGGGCGCCTGGTTTGTTTGGATGCTCACCTTTATAGACCTGTATGGAGGGAGGAGGATCTTGGACTTCCCATGGGGCAAGGAACCCTGACTGCTCTTAAGACTAGAGAGGGAGGGGAGGTGGGGAAGGGAAGGAAAAAAGGGAGGCAGGGAAGAGGTGGAAATTTTTAATAAATAAATAGATTAATTAAAAAATGTATAAAAAAGTGTTAGTGAACACCATCAGGATTCACTTACTCCACAAACATGTGATCATTCTGTGTAATGACAGTCAAAAATACAAGCCAACCATGCCTGTGTGGTTTGAAAGTATAAATTTATAAGAATTGGGAGTACTTTGAATTTATCTAAGAATTCTCTGATTTAGGGGCAAAGGAATCGTGCGTGTTTCATTGAATCACATGAGCTTATTAAATTTATGTTCCAATTGTGTGGTCCTCACTTCCACTTTGTGTGGCAAAATGTCTCAAGAAGAAATACATGTGTATTTATCCAGGCACAAAACCTAGGAATTCCAAGATTTTAACTTGAGACCTGGACAGGTGTCACTTTGGGAAGAGACAGAGAAAGAACCCTTGGTGTCTTCTGCTGAGAAACTGGAAGATGGCTGAAAGAATCTCATTTGAGTTTTAGCAGGACTTGTTCCTCATGTCACTGTATAGGACTGTTCTCTTGGGAAGAACAGCCTGTGCCAACCACTGCTGCTACTCCTCTTCCTTGTATTTTTCTTCCTGAATCGGAGAGATGTTTCTATTTAGAAAGTGCCACCAGACAGTCCGGCTCATTTAGGTCTTGTTCTGCCCTTGGACTAGAAGTGGTGAAGGAAGAAGACAAAAATAGCCAGTGACTTTTGATTCCTCCCCAGCACACACCGTGTTTGATCTCGGACTTGCTCTATTTTTGGTAACTACAACAGTGACAAGAGGTCACAGACTCTGGACTTCAGCCTCTGGGCATCTAAGTGATGTAATGGTGTCCATCTCCAACTCCAGCTGCACGGTCATACATGAGTAGCTCCTGGGGTCTTTTGTGTGCAGTCTTCTGTAGGGAAATCCAAGGGGTGGGTGTAACGAAGAAAGCCTCCATATGCGGCACACTTCTGCTGGAAAGGATGTAGAGTTAAAGGAATCAGCACAGGATTGTTGCGGGGTATTTTAATTTGACTTCTTAGAGTAGCACATCCTGAGGTAGAGATCTGAATGCAGATAGATATTTAGAGAACAGAGCGGTCAAAGCTAGGAGACTAGGAAAAAGAAAGGATGAAGGGAAAGCAGACAGCACAAGATGCTTCACTTAGCTGGTTTTCAATGAGAGCTGCTGGTGTCAACAGGCAAAACTGTTAATATTTAAGGGCTGGGAAGCTTGGCTCAGATGGCTCAGACATTGACAGTGCTTGCTACTCTGGCATTGGAGCAGAATCTAGTGTGTAGTACAACTGGCAAAACTTCAATCTTCAGGGGATCCAATGGCCTCTTTTGAATTACTCACAGGTACATACATGCATGTGCACCTGCACACACACAGTAGAATAAAATAAATAGGTTTTTAGCTTTCCAGTTATTTTTTTGACAAAATAAAATAAAATAAAATCATTACAACAAGACTAGATAAAGCAACCAAACAGAGAGAAGAGAGCCTCATGAGCAGGTACAAGAATCAGAGACCGACTTCTTCCCCCGCTCAGGAGTCCCATTAGAATTACTAAGCTGAAAGTTATAGTACATATACAGAAGACCTGGTACAGAGCCACGTAGGCATTGTGCTTGCTGCTTCAGTCTCTATGAGTTCTTATGAGCCCTGCTGAGTTGATTCTGAGGGCCTTGTTCTCCTAGTGTCCTCCATCCCCTCTGGTTCTTACCATCTTGCTGCCTCCTCTTCAGTGGGATTCCTCAGGCTCTGAAGGAAGGCATTTGATGGAGACATCCCATTTAAAGCTTTGTGATTAAATGATTTTCTACCTGTGTGTTGTCTGGCTATGGGTCTCTGTTCTCGTCTGCTGCAAGATGAAGCTTCTTTGATGATGACTGAATAAAGCACTGGTCTATGAGTACAGCAGAATACCACTTTTATTGATGCTTTTTATGGATGCTTTTCTCTTATGTTTAGCTTGGTAGTTTTTGGATTTACCCTACGTCTCCTGGGCTTTCTAGTCTCTGGTTCTTAGTCACCTAAGTAGTGTCAAGCATGGGTCCCATCTTGTGGCAATGGATCTTAAGTCAAATTAGGTATTGGTGTGTTATTTCCACAATCTTTGTGCTATCATTGCCTCAGCATACCTTGCTTGCAGGACATATTGTAGATCAACGGTTTTATGGTTGGATTGGTATTTACTTTTTTGGTAGCCTGGTGAAGGCTCCATGTAGGCACAAGCTCAACTTTTCCATGTTTAATGAATTGTGTAGGTGTTGTGGTTGGCAATGGGCTCTGTTGTCAGTTTTCAGAAGCAATCTATTGTCTTGACAACAGCTTGGGATTTTGGGGTATATCTATGGGATCACCTTGGCAAACAACTCAATTGAATAGAATCTAGTCCCAGTATTAGATGCCTTGTTTGGTGATAGGAGATGGCCAGGTGGTATTCTGTATGTGCCGCTATTAGAGACCATATTAAGATTGCCATCATATATTTTAGGGTGTTTCCACTATACTAGGTTTTCACATAATCTCTCCTTAGTTCCATATGTCTCTTTCCACATTCTCTCCCTCAATTCTATTTTTCCTCACCCTAACCACCTGATCCTCTCATTCCTGTCCTCAACCTTCTCCAGTCTACCCATAAAATCGACTCTATTTCTCCATTCCAGGGAGATCCATGTGTGCCTGTCTCTTCCTCTATATCTCTAGGCCTACAGGTTGTAGGTCAGTTATCAGACTACAACAGATCTTAAAATCAAACCTTAATTTGCTCAGGAACTATAAGCCAGTCAGATGTTTTGGCTTCAATTCCCAGTTCCGAAAATAGAAGTCTTCATTTCATATGTCACCCTGTTCTCTTGGATTTCAAAGAACAAATGACAGAATTCAGAGCTGTACTGACTCTAATTCTGCTTTCTTGTCTTGTGGTGCCATTTCTTATTATCTACTGTGTAATTTCTAAAAACTGTAGTCATGAAGGAGTCATGAGCCATACCCCCACTATTCATAGCCTTTCAAAATGTTAGAAGTTTAGTGATGAAATAAAATCCTGACTTGTGTGTCTAGAGCCCAGATTTATGCCTACTCTAGGATAAACAGTGGCCATATCC